TGGATTTGACATCAAGAGAGCTAGGTTCACATCCTGACCCAGCCACTTGTTAACCAGCGAAATCTTGGGCAATTCACTTAAGCTCTCTAGGTCTCAGTTTCTCCATCTGTAAAATGAGGAGGGAGGATGGATTTTATGACCTCAGAGGTACCTTAAAGCTCTAAATCTATGTACGGTATCATGATCCTAAACCTACTCATTTTTCCACATGACAGCCATTCCAGTACTTGAAAACAGTAATCAAAAGAGAACAAGATTAGAAACTAAAAGAGCTCAGCCCATCTAGTCTAGCCATTTCATTTTACAAATGAGAAAGGTCTAGTCTTTTTTACAAGGAATGTTGTTCCCTTCATGATGATTCTGCATGTTAATTATCTCAACTCAAGTTAAATTTAGTTCATCATTCCAGCCCATTGATATCATTCTGCATCCTGAGTCTGTCAACCAATGTATTTGGCTATCCCTCTAAGTTTTCTATTATCCATAAATTTGATAAGCATGTAACTGATAAAAAGGTTGAACAGAATAAGGTCTAGAGGAGAACTTAGAGATTAGAGAACAGATGCACAAAGAGGTCACAAATCCCATCAAAAGAAGAGACTTCTGACTTCATCAAAGTCACAAACTATGGAAGGGTCAAGGTTCAAACCTTGATCTCTCTGGGTCCTTACTGGCAAATAAGTCCTGCTTTAGCACAGCTTAAATTTTATACTTTCAAAAATGTGTTTTATGTTAAATCCGGCTGAATAGCAATTCTATTTGCATATAAGATAATCTTGTATATCTGATCTCTGTTTTGTGAGTTTCAGCTGGATCTATTATTATACTGATATTTGTATAGTTGTTTTAGTCTTCAAAGCCATTTATTTATTTAATCTCAGTCAATCCTAAGAGGGTCAAGGCGGATATTATCCCAACCATTTACCCATGCTGGTATATTTCCTCCTTCCTTTCCTCAGCCACTCTCCAACTTCCAACTGTACTCACACCTTCCATCTATTCTCTATCTTATAGCCACTTTATTTGCATCTTGTCTCCCTCATTATAATGTAACCTTCTTGAGGATAAGGATGTCCTCTCACCTTTCACTATATTCCCAACACTTAATATAGTACCTAGCATATAGTAAGCATTTAATAAATACTTGTCAATAATATAGAAATGTTTTACATAATTGTACATGTATAGCATACATGTATAGCGTATATCTGATTGCTTACTGTATCAGGGTGGGGGGAGGGGAGAGAGGGATAGAATCTGGAACTCAAAACTTGAAATAAAAATGTTTTTGAAATTGGAAATAAGTAAATACCTGTCAAGTTTTTTTTATTCTTTGTTATCAGGGATAGTTACATGGAGAGGGAAAGGGATAGGAATATATTCAGAAATTAATCTAATATTAAAAAAAGTGATAGCCATTTTTTAAAATGAGTCAACTGGAGAAAGATTCATTAAAGACTCACTTTACACAAAGCTTTTCAGATATATGTAAATAATATTCAAATAGGGCATTATGCTAGGCTTCTTTCATAAGACCAGAAGGTTTTGTGAATCTCTTAAAAAATTAGAACCTTTCCTTATCTGAAGGAGTCCCAACCCCTACTGTATTATTACAGCAAGGTCTAAGGATTCTGGTGGTAAATAGGCAAATTTAAATGTACCTACCATACTTTCTTGGAAGGAATTCCTAGAAATGCCTCATGGAAATCAAGAGTTCTCTGAAACATGGTGGAAAACTTACTCCATTAAACAAAGTGAATAACTGTGGGAAAGATAGATGGGGCAAAGGGGAGATGAACTGATCTTGATGTCAGCCTCACCAGTCTTTGGAACCCAGACACTAACTCAATCAATTAACCAACAATCATTTATTAAGCACCTACTATGTGACAGACCTGTGCAAGGCAGTGGAGATAACAAAGACAAAAATGTGAAATAACTCCTATTTTTAAGGACCTTATGAATGATTCTATCAGTAGCTTACATTAGACTCAGGGGAAGGATCTCCAAGCAGAGACACTTTCTCCTCTCTTCCCAAGAAAGGACATCTCTAAAAACTAGACTAAAGCAAGATAAAGCCTTGAATAGGAGACCAAGGACAACATGCTAATCACAAACCATCACTAAAACCCAGGAGGAAAGAGCAGATCATCTATGTGTGGTTCAAACCCTGACACTATGACAGGCTTCCTATCATATAAGCAAAGTATCAATTATCCAAATTCAAATGAGTAGTAATTACAAATGTAAAATCAAAAGCAAGCATTGTGCTTGGTTTAGATTAACTCAACCTACCACCATCTCACTAACTCAACTGACAACAGGCAGAATTGCATCTGGTTTTAAAGGGGGGAAAAACAAGCTAATGGAACGCTAAAACCAGAACACTGTCCTTAAAGTGCAAACTCTACCTACGCTATTCTCCTCGTACAGACGAGGAAACTAACGCTCAGAGAAGTTAAAAAGGTTTACCTAGGGTTACACAGATAACTAGTAGCTGAGCTGGAATTAGGCCTGTGTCCCAGGCCAGTCCTTACGTTGTCTGTTGAGCAATAACCACAACAGAAAAATGTGAAGTGGGTTTTGATACAAGAAAACTTAATGTAACCACAAAACACATAGAAAAAGACCAAAGAGGGGGTGGGAGAACTGGAAATGGAGAGATGGTGAGCAGAGATTGCTCTTATTTCCTTTGCATTCTAAGCCATCAGTTCTTAAGAGTTAAACAGGCTGAGACCCTCCAGCAGTTTCCTACTATTCCAGCTTACACTCTAGGGCCTTCTTCCTTAGGGCTTTCAGCTTGATGTGACAGCGTTTAATTGCAGGTTGTGGTTCTCCCTTCCCTCAGCCTACTCCAGGGGTGGGGAATCTGTGGCCTCGAGGCCACACATGACCCTCTGGATCCTCAAGTGAGGCCCTTTGATTGATTCCAAACTTCACAGAACAAATTTGTTCAAATTTGTCAAAGGGCTGCAGGTTCCCCAAGCCTGGTCTACTCAAAATCACTCCCTAAAAAGGTCCTATACCAACAGTGGGCCTCCAGTCTAAAGCAAAGTATAAACTAATATCCAAAGGATAATGACAGAGTAGCTCTTTTCCTACTGCCATTAAACCAAGGCTTCACAAAAGATGGCTCCAGGTCACATGACCCCCTAACCATTTTAATCACAAAATCCTCACCAAAGAAAGGCAGTGTCACCTAATGGAAAAAGACCAGAACTGGGAAGATGGGTTCAAGCTCCACCTCTTACACACATAGGCTATGGGACCCTTAGAAGATAATTAATTTCCAGGTGCTCTAAGGAAATACTCTGAGCCACTAAATTGCAGGGAAGGTCCCAACCCGCACTCCTCCCCGAAAAGTTGCCTATATGAATTAACAGGATCAATAAAAAGAGGCCAAAAACAAAGCAGTTAAATACAAGGTAGTTTTAAGGGAGAGCACCAACAGCTGAAGGGCTGAGTACAGGCTTCATGAAGAAGTGGGGCTTAAGACACATCCTGAAGGAAGAGAGGGATGCATTCCAGGCACGAGGGACAGTCAGTAGAAAGGCACAGGAATCATGCTACATATTTCTTGACAGAGAAGGGATGGATATTGACACAGATATACATACATATATGTGTGTGTACATGTATTGATGTGTATCTAGATATTTGGACATGCCATGATCAAGTCAGGAATTTGTTTCATTTAATTACGCATATTTGCTATGAGGGTTTTGTTTTTTCTTTTTTTCTAATGGGGAAAGTAAGAAGGGAAAGAATGAAAAAAATTAAATTTAATTTTATAAAAAAAAGACACAAAGACAAGGGAAGAAGTAAAGACAAGGCTAGTTAAAGTATTTTGATTTCTGATTCATTTCTTTCCTTCCTCAAAGACAGCTGCCTCAAACACTGCCAGTGTAGGAGTACCCAAGTGCACCCACAGTGACCCATCCAGAGATCATCATTACCCTAGGGTGAGCTGTGCAAACATAGGAGTTAGAGGGATATTCACTAGCCACCACTTATGTACCCTGATAGTAACCACATATGATCCCTGAAATACTTTGTCTACTACTTTGAGGTCTCTCTTTGAACTCTTCTGCATATCCTTCAAGATCCTTCCACCGATGATCAATGACCCTAATGTAAGTCTTAATCTAAGGTTGAGAACCACTGGCAACATGCCACCTTTATTTTGTCCTCTTTCTTTGAAAACTAACATTCACTGTGCCCCTAAATTTTAGGGCTGGCTCCTAGATCAAAATCAAATTTGTCAAGTCCTGCTTTAAAGCAACATATACAGTACATGGACATCACATACACATACCACATATCCTTATCCTTATCCTCATAATAGCTGTCATGAACGTAGAAAAATAGTCTACAAATCACCAGACCAGAAAACGATTTTTAGTCTTTCTAAAATATTTGCTAAAACCTAAAAAAAAATTAGAGACAATTCGAAATTTAATCAATCTCTCTTTCTCTCTCTCTCTCTCTCTCTCTCTCTCTCTCTCTCTCTCTCTCTCTCTCACACACACACACACACACACACACACACACACACGAGTAATCCTACCTAGATTAGGTTAGATTTGTGATTTCTACTCTTCTCAGTGCTCATGAACTCTTAAGAAAGCCATCAGCAAAAGAATACAGTTATGGCTGCCAGTTCTCAAAAGTCCTGAAAGACTTCTTGAATAGACTATTCTGGCTCTCTCCTACTGCTTTTTCTAAGACACCATTATCTCAGTGGAACACAAACTGCAAGCAGTTTTTCCAATGTGATCTCACTAGCTTCTAGAATAAAGTGCAGAGAGTATGTCACCTTACTACAATCCATGCTGGTTTCCAACCTTACTCCAAAACACCCTATAGTATTACATTTCACACACTATACCCATTGCCCAAGAGTTGAAGAGTGGGCCTTGTTTTATCCAACAGAAAGATAAGTTTTATGCACAAATGTATATACATGATAGTCATTCTTTTTTTTAAAAAAATCTACTTACCGCATAGGAACCTATTAAAAATGCTGCATTTGCTCGCTTTCGTTGATCAAAGCTGGTGTAATGCACTATTTTCTTTCTTGATAAACTGTATGACTGGACAGAGGAAAAAAAATGTTATTGTAACTATATAATCACAATATCTAAACATCAAAAGAACATATATGACCCAAAGACAAAATCTAAATTCCTCTCACATTTGCAAAGAATGCCTTGATTACCAGCTTTTGAACGTGGATATAATTATGAATAATGTTCATCCATGGGACATTCAGATTATATGCCTATTTTGTGAATCTACTCATTCACACTTTCCATAGCATACCTTCCCCCACATAGATAGTTATCATAATAATGAACATCTTACCATGAAAAATTATTAAATTATAGGAATTTATACTAGGCTGGAGGTAGTTTCATGTGACTCTTTTCTCCAAAATATTTCTAATTTAAAAATCACTCCTAATCCCTTTCTAATTCTACCCTTTCAAAATCAGTCAGTTTCACCTGTACCTTGTACATAGAAAACAGAACCAACACTTACTGTTGTATGTATTCAAGGCAGTAGATGCGACACAAAGATAAATAAAACACAGTCCCTACCCTCATGGGGCTTATAATCAAGAAGGGGACCTAAAACCAATACAGAAATAACTTTTTTTAAATATAGCATGTGCATCAGACATAAATAAGGAGAGGGAGAGGGAGAGGGAAAGGGAGAGGGAGAGATTGTTACCCAGGAGGGAACAGTAGAAAATATAGAAAAGGTTCAAACAGAAAGTTGAAACCTAACCTACTTTTTTCTCTTCAAAACTGCCATATGGCAGACAGATTACCAAGTCTAATCTTATTTTCTATCTACCATTCAGTGATGAATACTCTAGTCTTTTTATATTATCTACAAAGAAGCTGTTGGGAGGGGTAAAAATGAAACCTCAAAAAGAATATGCTGAATATACAACTTTATATAATATCCACATAAACCAAACAAAAGGTTGCTATGTTTATGCCTAAAATGAAGAATGTTGTTGGTTACCAATTAATTAAGAAGTATGACAAATCCCATAAATCTATTTTAATTCCATAAAGTCAAAGCATTAATTCAAACTCTTTTGAATATATAATTTAAATAGTGAAACCTGCTCACAGCAACCACTCTGAAATTTTAAAAATCAAAATGTATCCCTCCCATTGCTAATGTTCTCTTCAATCTCAAATTATTCTGTGTTGGCTATCTAGTTTACATATTATACTGCCCTCCCTATCACCTCAAAACAGCAAGAAATATGCCAAATGAAGAAGAAAAAGGTGGGAGAAGGAGGGAAAGGAAAAAAATTCTCTGAAGGAAAACAATAACAACAGCAGCAGCAGCAGAGACACCAAAGAAATAAGAAAACAATGTACTACAACTAAAATAAGTGCTAAGGTAGATCTGTTATACAGACAGTGTTTGCATCACAAAGGAGTACAAAACACTACACTAGACATATTAGGTGAAAAAAAGAAACATAAAAAGCTTGTACACAAGGAACAGCTTCTTCAAATAGATCAAGTATTGATTTGATGAAGTGATTCATTCATTACAATTACTGCAATCAGTGGTACACTGAACATAGTAGAGAAATAGTGGATAACAGGACATTTATTGCTGCCTTCCCACTGTCCCATCTATGGCAATTTTCTAACTGTAAGCTTTTATCACTATATGAAAATTAAAGCAAATATGGAATATGGCATATATACACTTCAAGGCACACAAGTTGAAATGAACATATATTAAATGCCTCCTACATTCAAGGCACTGTGGTAGACGCTAGAGATACAAAGACAAAAACAGTCGCTGTATTCAAGAAGTAGACATTCTACTTGGGGGAAGGGAGCCAACACGAATTAAATCAAGAATATCTATGAGAGATATTTCCCAATTCAAAAATGAAAGAGGGTAAAAAAAAGGAGAAATGGTGTTCTAGTCCTAACGACTCCTTCTGAAAAACAGACTATATGAAGTTAGTTGAAATAACCTGAATACTAACACACACCCACTAAACACAACAAATAGCCGAGATTGTCCATGGGTAACTTGATGGTGCCGTGCACAAAAGCATGCTGTGCTTGGCATTTGGAACAGCTTTGAAGCTCTGAAGACTGCGTATTATTTAAACATTCAACAACCAAAATGAAAGTTTGTGAAATCTTTTTCCCCATTAATAGCAAGGGATGCAATTAAAAGGAAAGCCAAAATTGCAAAAATCAAGTTTGAAATCTAATTTTAAGTCGAATATATCTTATACAATCTGTTATAAAAACTGTTTGCCATGCTGAAAATGCAACCTTAAAGTCATTTAGAGTATTTTGTTTATTGTTAAACTGTGTCAAACTTTTTGAGCAAAAGAAACCCAAAATGCTGCCTGTATGTAAAATCTATTTATTCTTTATTAAGAAAGAACAAGGTCTATTCACTCTCTTTAATGAGCAACATATGCCTTATCATGGTAGTAAGATGAAGTAGATCAAAGCACAAACATGAGGTGAAGTGTTATTCTCTTGCTGGAGGCTATGCTATACTAGGCAAAGAAATGGCAGCCACAGTGCAAACATTGGCCATCTCACTGCAAAAGCAATAAAGTGATTTACAGGGTTTCCTATTATCAGCGACGACCACTAAGTGTTTACCTCCAGCTTTCTCAGGATTGGGATATTCTTGAAAACATTCATTGGCTGCACAAAAAAAAAATATATGGTTTATGTTTTTATTCACAGCTATAAAATTGCAATAAGGCACATGATCTCACATTTTAATCCCCTTCAAAAAAGTCTCCACTTCCAACAGGTGAACAATTGAACCCAAGAATTATATCAAGTTTCTATAATGAACCAATGAAATGGTTCCTAACCTGGTTCCACGAACTTTGTTTTGTAAATATTTTAATACTTGTACTTTGTTTTGGTAAGGCACTTAGGGTTAAGTGACTTGCCCAGAGTTACACAGCTTGAAAGTGTTATGTGTCTGAGGCCGAATTTGAACTCAGGTCCTCTTGACTCCAGGGCTGGTGCTCGATCCACTACACCACCGAGCTGCCTCTAATACTTGTATTTTCAATATCATTGGTTTCCTATTTTATTTTATGCATTTAAAAACCTTATTCAGAGAAGGGTTTCATGGGCTTCACCAGTCTACAAAAGGGTCCGACTGGTTAGACCCTGATCTAACATAGTTTTAAAGCTACGATGGCACAAGCAAGTTGTTTATGCTTGTTATTTGATCAGGATGATAAAAAGATAAATGTCAAGGTTCTAGACCTCTGTGCAACATGCATTACCATTTATTTTAAACTGCATAAACTTCCACCAGAATATAAACTTCAGAATGAGTGCATCTGAATAGAAAACAAAGGTATGAGGAGTAATAGGTACGCAGAAAAAGGAACAGGAGCCATTCACTACATAGGAGTTCTAGAAAACATCCAGATTAGACTAAAATTATATACAAATCTGCTTACTGACTTTATGACACCCTCATTTTTCCTAAAATTGCCCTATAGCAAGCACTGTATTTATTCCTGCAAACACATATTAGGCACCAGATTTTGTGAGAAAAATGTGCATAAGAAAATATTGAATACTTCAAGATAACTATAGATAGGGGTGTGCTGGGACCAGCTCTAAAAACTTATGATTAGGGGCAGCTAGGTGGCGCAGTGGATAGAGCACCAGCCCTGAAGTCAGGAGGACCTGAAGTTCAAATCCAGCCTCAGACCAAACACTTGACACTTACTAGCTGTGTGACCCTGGGCAAGTCACTTGACCAACCAATTCCCTAAAAAATAATTTTTTAAATTAAAAAAAAAAACTTGTGATTAAATTTTCATTGTGAATATTTGTTTACTAAGGAAATCAATCGGCAAACACTACGAATCAGGGGGTTCACAGATTACCCAGAGCACAGACTTAATAAAGTGATGGAGAAAATGTGAACAATGCAGACTAAACTTAAAAGTGTCATGCATATTTTTTCCAGCATTCCCCTGAGTACAGTCATTAAAAAACCAGCACTGGGGATCACTGTACTCAATGATACTCCACCTTCCCACAGAAAGTTATTTCCTTCAGGGAGTTTCATTTAATTTTCCACTCAACCTATGGCTCTGTTGTAAGGAAAATTAAAAATAAACAGACCCAATCACATTCTGCTTATGTCAAATTCTAAATATTAACCATGTGTGGGACATCCCAACTCCCCTGCCTCATCTTGACACGGCAGGGATGACTCTGGGTTTTTGGAAAGCTAAGTCAGCAGAATACAGTTCTAGAAAGACTTTGAGTACAGGTCTGTAAGGCCTATTGATGAGATACAGCCTAATGAAATTCAAACAAACTCATCACCAGAAAGTGGGTACGCTGAGGCAGAGAGGGGTTTCAAGCTGTATGAGAGGAGGGAACACTTCAACAGATCTTTGAAAGTATTGGGGGAGGGACAGGTTTTTCTTCCCAAGTAGGTCTGAAGAGATTATTTTAAATAATAAGTTTTTTAAATAGAATATTTTAATTCTCCTTTGGAAAGCCCTCTAACCCTATTCTCTCAACAGCTGATGGCATTTTCCTTTAAGTGACATTAATAGTTCCTCAAACTGTGAATGACTGTCAAAATATGCCATCCTCCAACATCAACCTTTCAGGTAAAATCATTGGGAAAGCAATAAAATGGGACCACCACTCCACAAAGACCTTTCTGCAATTTACAATCACAAGGAGGTAGCTTAGAAATAAGCATGGGTTTGAGAATTTTTCCATTATGATCAACCGCCCATTAGAATCAAGATCACTCTGCACAGAATGCTTACTACCTGACAAATCAATACGTAACTACCACAAAACAAGCGGCTCCGCAATTCAGACTTTGGGGAAAAAAACAATTACTCTGATGGTAACTACAAAGGCCATCTCTCTGCAGGGAAGTGGAATACATATATTGCAGTCTTACTAAAAGCAAAAGGAATCTCATCAGAAAACTATTATTTATCACAAGATGCTTACAAAGTAAAAATTCATTTTTGTAGGAAACTCTTTCACAAGCAACTTCTCAGTAACTTATAATC